TGCTTCCCCATTGGAACAGTACTGTTGTTGTGATCACAAAAGCTGAGTAGGAATTATCACATAGATTTGGAAGTACTGCTGAAACAGATGAGTGTTTTCAAACACAGCTAGAAAAATCACCTCAATAGTTAATAGCCCAAAAACAAATCCTGATACCATTAATTTGTGAAAATGGTACATCATTCCATCTGCACAGGATATAGTTTTGCCAGGTTCAGTGCTTAAACAAAACTAAAAGATATTTTATGCACACACATACTACTTGCTCATACATGTCAGTTATGACATTCTGACCTTGGAAGCAATATGACCCTTGGACAATGGAAGTAGCCCTTCAGAATGCAATGTAGCTATGGCCTGGTGCCTCAGTTTGTGCATTTCTAGTCAGTGGCTGAATTTTCTCAAAAAAGTTTTAAGTGTTTCACATTCTAGAATAGGCATATGAATTTAAAACAGGAAAATTCTATCTGAAATATGAAATACTGACATACCACTCAATTGGATGTTCTAAGCTAGACAGTCCATTGATTTGATGTTAAAGAACTAGGTCCATACAGAACAGAATCATAAAAGTTGTTGTTTTTATACAAAGTCTATTTGCTTGTATTTTAAACACATTTAGCATTTGGGGATGATGAAGTCATTATAATATGTGATGTGATATATGTGATGACTTCATCATCTCTAAATCACACATAGGAAGCATTTTTAGCAATCTGGACTTCTTTCTGCATCCTAATATTTCCCATTTTTTTTCTCCAAAAAGTATAAAGGAAACAAATTTTAGCAAAAGCATGGCTCTCTGTTGACAACACATAGGTATCTTCAACTATCCCTGTGTTAAATATATAGCACACTCAATATATCAGACAATGATTTGGCTCTATTATACTTGTGCAATTTAATGCACTGTGTGTATGTAAGCACAGAAATGTAGTGCTTAGATCAGAGAACTCTAGCTAAATCCTTCAATGAACTCACTGAATGAATGACATTGGTTAACCATGTTTTCTCAAACCAACCTTTTCCATTAGATTATGATAGTGGGTATCTTCTTAGCAATGTTGATTTAAAGGGTTAATATGTCCTTCTAATACTAAATTCTTAGTCCTCACAAAATGCGAACAGTTAACAATTTTAAAGTAAACATGAATTTCACTCTCAAATATGACTATGTCTGAACCAATATGTTTTAGTTAATTGTCTAAAACTGCAATGGGAGAATCACATAAAATATTTGATACGCATTTTAGTTCTATCTCGGTATTTTCTGGAATTACTGTAACCTACAATTCTAATACTTTCTCTGTAAAACACACACAAAATAACAGTCCTTCTCTCTAATAATTTTCTGCTTTCAGCACATTTATAATAATATAAGTCAGAAACATGGGGCATCTAAATTACCTGCATTCTGATCTTATCATCTAGGAGTGTCAATTGTCAATCTTTGGGTCTGGTTGAAATATGGTCTGCAATCCAAGAATACACTCAGATTTTTATTCATTACTGAAAAATTCCCTAGAAAAGGGAAATGAGGGGATATGATATTAAAATCCAAAAATTATCATAATGAAGGATACCATAGAACAGAGAGGTCCCCAACCTTTTGGGCACCAGGGACCAGTTACGTGGACAGAGGTTTTTTTATTGGACCGGAGGGTGTGTGATTTTGTGTGCTGCCTGCATCCTGGGGATGAGGCTTTGCTTGTTTGTGTGGACCAGTTGCTGGCATGCCGTGGCTCGGTACTAGTCCATGGACCAGGGGTTGGGGACCCCTGCCATAGAATATAGTAAAGTAATAATTGTACTATATCAAAATCAGAGATGTTACAAACTTTAAGTAACCTCAAGATTTCTGGCTAGACCAAGAATTTGCAGAACTAAATACTAGAAATCTAACTGAATACATTACAGATAGTATTATTAAACTGGACATTTAGAGTTCAATACTTTCTTCTAAAAACATTATTCTTCATTTGTAGTCATATTGGTATTATGCTATAAGTTAGGTGTCTTGATTTTAGTCTGGCAACAACTTAACAGAAGTTTGAACAGTAATAGTTTTGCTAGTATGGTAGATCATTTTTCATTACTAATAATTGTCATCTAGTTGTTTAACACAAGCAATGTAGGTGAGGTTGTTCTACAGAATCCTTTTTTATTTGAATACACAGGTTATTTCAGTAAATGGCATAGGAGATGTTAGCAATTAATATTACCCCTGAGCCACCGTTTTGCACTTTGTTCAGCTTGCTGGATTTCTATATTCTAGCAAAGAAGCCATGGAATCTAGAAGTTTGCCCATTATCTCTCTTGTATTTAAGGTGTGAAAAATTATTAAACCTGTCTCCCCATTTATACAGAATCAAGATGTAGTAAATCATACCAGAAAAAGAACAAATTCATTCTGACTATTTTATCATATATTTTGTGGGGAAGGAAGCAATGAAAGTTGCACAAATACTCAATCTACACTTGAGTATCAATATACGCTCAATATACACATATATTCTACATTTGAAGATCAATATTTCTATTAATTCAAAAGTTGCTCTGGATCAAATGCCAATATTTTAGCTAAATATGCTTTTGTATTAGATAAAGTCTAACACAAAAGTATCTTATTAGTTTGAAGAAAATATTTTTTTAAAATATATCCCACATCAAGGGTTTAAACTTGAGTTCAATGAAAAATGTATAAAAATATAGTTGGTATCTTTTTAAGAAGATAGCAAAGAAGCAAAAGAATACTCATGGATGCATGAGCAACAATTTAATTAATGGGACAAAAAGGGGCAAATACATACCCCACTCATCCTTGCAAGAAGGGGGGGGGGAAAGAAGCACTGGTATAATGAAAAGTTACATCTTTTAATCTACATAGCAAGCAGTGAAGTTCAAGGTACTTCTACAGATATAATACTTCTCTGCTTTTAGCAACAGTGTTTGAAGAACAACAATCTATTGTAGTTATTTTAGTTAAATACCAAATGTATTTATTTAAGTTGTACAAATGTAGCTACTTAAAAAAACAGCTTTTTAAAAAAAATTAACTGAGTTGCCTCAAGTATAACTGGGGAGTCAAACAAGTTTTATGCACCTGTTTAATTCCACCACCAGTTTCCTAAGACACACCTTTAGTTCAGCAGGTGCAATTCTATGTTCTGACAAGTCTGAAAAATGGAGGAGGAAGCTAGTCCTGACTAGCACCATTCCAGTTAGCCTTTGATTTGCATAAGTATCTGGGAGCCAATTCAAATTTCAGGATTCACCATATGAAATGAAGAAAGGAGTCAATGATTTTAAAGATACTGCCTGAACAGCTACCCATATTATCACTGAAGTAGGGCTCCAGGAAATAAGATAGATTACATAATGGATCACTTGAATTTCATACCTTTGCTGAATTCTAATCATGTGGTGTAATCATAACAGAAAAAAAATGCATGCAAGGAAGTTGACAGTGGAATCCGTTCACAGATCTCCGTGGACCCTGAGCAAATATTGTTCTATAAAGTGGGATTGGAATTATATTGAGCTTTTGCTCAATTTATATTGAGCTTTTGCACTCCAAAATACTCCCCCACACCCACCTTAAGTATTTCCCACCAGACCAAACACGTAATGAATCATTCAAAAAAGTAACAAAAGAAGCTGTGTGGCAAGTTGATGGCAGCTTCCATGTTCAAATTACACAGGCTTTCCACCTGAACTTTGACATGATGCCCTTTGTCTCTGTAAGCATTCCACTAATGCCATTTAAATGTATCAACCATGTGGGTCAGCATATTTATCTCTGCATGGTTTCAGGAAGCAGGTTAGATGTTGGTAATGTATAGTTCAAATCTCTGTTTAGACGTGAAACTCTGCTAAAGGGAATGGAAAGAACAGTCTGACCTCCCTACTTCTTGGAATTGTAAAAGTAGGGAATGGGAGGAGGAAAGCCTAAAGTGCTGGCCTCAGCTGTCAGAGGCAGAGGGCTTTAAAAATAAAAAAAACTAGTGAAAAAAAGAACATAAGCAACCCAACTTGGGTTTAGAATGACAGTGATGGCTCCTATGCAGGATACATACCAATTAAAATACACACCAATAAGACCACAAATTAAAGATCTGATCCTTGTCCTAAATAACAGTTGAATAGGATGGAGCTTCTGGAAGTTTCCCAGTTATAAACGGTCTGGCTTTTGGCTTATTTTAATCATGTCCGGGGTCCCCAGACCCTCCCCTGTCCAGTTGATGTATGTTTATTGAAGCCAAGAAGGAAGCATCTGCATAAAGCTCAGAACACATTTTCTTTTACCAATATTGCTAGATATGTTCCTACTCAAAACAGTTTTTTGCATGGAGCCGGCCTAGATTCAGGTAGTCCTCGACTTACAACAGTTCATTTGGTGACCGTTCAAAGTTACAACGGCACTGAAAAAAGTGATTTATGACAATTTTTCACACTTGCAACTGTTCCAGCATCCTCACGATCATGTGATCGAAATTCAGATGCTTGGCAACTGACTTGTTTTTATGACGGTTGCAGTGTCCCAGGGTCATGTGATCCCCTTTTGCAACTTCTCACAAGCAAAGTCAATGGGGAAGCCGGATTCAGTTAACAATCAGGTTAACTAACATCAACTGCAATGATTCACTTAACAACTGTTGCAAGAGAGGTCGTAAAATGGGTCAAAAGCTCACTTAACCAATGCCAATGTTGGACTCAACCGTGGTCGTAAGACGAGAACTACCTGTGCTAATACTGGCCCAAATCTTCAGAGATCGCTCTCAAACCATTCTGACCTGCCAGGAACAATACGGGGGGGGGAGCGACCTGACGAGCGGACAAACACGCACACACGTTCCCGGGCCCACGTACTTTCCGCGGCCAAGTTCTTCCCTTCCTATCCCCACCACGGCACACAGTCTGCTCCAGGCACCTGTCGCCCTTACAGCGCAGGCTCCTCCCCGGCCGACTGGCTCGGCCTCCTCAGGTCAGTCCTTCCTCACCTGTCTCGCGGGTCGACCCAGCTGGTAGTTTTGGTGGCGTGGTCGATGTAATAGACTTTGCCGTCGTAGTCGCGAGCTTCCTCCCAGCCTTCGGGCAAAGGCAGCTCCTGCCGGGGCATTTTTCCCGGCAGCAGGCGCAGCAGCGGAGAGACGGACCGAGGCCGGAGGCGGCGGCCACCCCATGCAAAGGGTTCAGCAACCCCCCGCCCAGCCCAGCAGCTGGCACGGCGGGCTAGGGCGAGGGGTCGCGGCGAGCAAGGAAACCGGAGCCAGGCAACCGACCAGGCGGGAGTCTTGCATCCTCAGCCGCGCGGGGAGTAAGGAGAAGCGGCGCGTGCAGGGGAAGAAGAGCTTTTCGAATGTTGCAGGCAACACGCGACAGCCCAGGCGAGCCGGGCTGGCCGCCGTCCGTCCGTCTGTCTGTCTGTCCGTCCCCTTCCAATAAGCGAGCCGATCGCCTCTCCCTCGCTTCTCTCTTCAGCAAGAGACCCTCGAAGCCAGAGAAGGGGGCGGAGCTACGCTGCCGTGGAGCCTGGAGCCTAGAGAGGTCGAGCCCACTTCTTTTCCCGGGCTTTTGCTTCCAGCGAAGTAGGGCCGTCAGTTTAGCCAAGGCTCGGGTGCCGAGCGCTCCCCGCCAGAGAGTCTTGCAGCGCTGCTCCGCCCGCGGCTGTTGCTCCTCCTCCCTCCTCCTCCTCTCACCGCTGTCTCCTAGGTTCCTTCCTTCACTCCTCCCCTATGCCGGTGCTACAGTAATACAGGTAATAGTAGAGCCACCTCAACTTTTTTTTTTTTAATCTAGCGGCGGCTATTACCATAAACACGACCGTATCGGAGACGAGCGCCTCCTCCTGGTTGAGGCGGGGAGGGGGACGGGAGGAGGAGGAGGAGGAGGAGGAGCCGCTGCAGCTTTTGGCCGCTGGTGAGGCAGCCTGATAGCGGTGGGCGGATTCCCACTCTGTTAGCAAATGGGAGGGTCGGGGGATTGGTCAAAGGTGCTTCAGAAGAGACGCTCATCCACAGAATACAGGTGAAAGTGAAGGTAATTGGTTTTCAAGACTTGGGATCAAGCCCTAGGGCGGGGGAAGGGAGGCTGGAGACAAAATCTGGAGGCAGCACGGGGATCCCTTTCTGAAGACAGCTTGCCCACGGTTTGTATTAGACGAAAGATGATCGTGTGGCTGGTGTCGAATCGAATCGATAGAGCCAAGGTTAAGAATTCAAAATCGGCAGCATGGAAACCTTACAGAAAAGGTTCCCCCCCCCCGCAAATAGAGTTTTTTTTCCCCTCCCACATTGTACCAAAATAGCAGTTCCTCAACTCTTCTTTCTTATCTACATTAGCGAGAATATGTAGTTAAGAAAGAAAACATCAGCTATCAATCTTGGGGGGAAACGTGAAGAAAAGTAGAAAAGAAAAACATTTGTACTACCTGGTAAACATGGAGAGTGTATCTCTAAGCCATATGGAACCCTCATTCCATCATATCAAGGGCAGTATGTAGATCACTTGATCCCAGAAAGCACCATGACCTGTGTAAATGGGGAAGAAAAACAACCAACCACTAGCTGATGGTGACTTCATGGAGAGATCCTTGTCATCTTCTTAATAATAATGTAAAGATGGCTTGTCACTGCCTTCCTCCAAGATGTTTTTCAACTTCCTAACTACTCCTGGTAGTCTTCCATCAAAGTGCTTAACCTTATCCAATCCCACTACACTTCTGGAGATCAGCTGAATAAGTTAGGTGCTGCCATCTAGCTATATTTAAACTCAATGCACAGCCAAATTGGCACCAAGTGGTAACTTGTTTCAAACTGAAAAAAAAAAAAAAGTTGATAATAATTTAAGAGGAGAAAGAATAAAGTTGGCAAGGCAACGGATTGATATATGTCAATATAATTTTTATATGATGACAGAACACCATTTTAAAATATATACTAAATTTTGAATTTTATATACATGTGCTTTCTTAGAAATCAGTGGATTTTACTTCTGAGAAAACATGTATCAGATTCTGTTATGTAACAATGTATATCAGTAACCTAGGACCAAAAAATTAGGACTAGACGTCATATGATTCTAAAATGATAAAGTTTGAACACAGAAAATAATAACTTGAAAGACAAGCCAAGGCAGACTATATTTTGATTCCTATATGCCATGAGAAGCAAATGTTGTTCTCCAGACATTGCTGAAGTACATCCTTATAATACTTCTCCTTCTTGGTAACACTGACTGGTGCTGCTGAAATTAATATGTATCCTGCACAACATACACAGGCTTTCCTATCTGCAAAAATGATCAGTGAACATATCCAAAGATAATGACTTTAATTCAATCACAATGAGAAAGTAGCTGTCTGTTAACAGCAAGATGTGCAACAATAAAAGAAAACAACTGTATAAGATTGTTAAAACAAATAAAATTGGATCTGGAAAAGTGGAAAAATTTACAACTCTCAATACTGAGGAGAATAGCAACAGTGAAAATGGATATCTTATCAAAAATATTCTTTTTATTTCAAACAATACCTATAAGACTGGGAAAAACCTTTTTTTGATGAACTAAATATAACAATATTTGCCAAGGGGAAAAAAATCCAGAATTAGACTGAAAATGTTACAAGGAAGTAGCTGCCTGTTTTTGTGCTGTGTGTGGCAAACACTTTAAAAAGGACAGTCACACTTTTTTGCCATGTGCTGACTGGCTGTCTGCTTTGGGGCCAAATATCCTGAGCCCCTTAGTCAAGAAAGATGGGTATCTTCTTGAAATGTAGATGTTCATTATGGTGGTGGTAGGAAAAATCTTATCATGCATTGGGTTTGGCTAGTCTAAAGAAAAGAAGAAATAGGGGAGACATGATAGCAGTATTCCAGTATTTGAGGGGCTGCCACAAAGAAGAGGGGATCACATTATTCACCAAAGCACCAGAGGGCAGGACAAGAAACAATGGTTGGAAACTGATCAAAGAGAGAAGCAACCTGGAATTAAGGAAAAACTTCCTGACAGGACAATTAACCAGTGGAACAGCTTGCCTCCAGAAATCGTGGGTGCTCCATCACTGGAGATTTTTAAAAAGGCTAGACAGTCACTTATCTGAGATGGTATAGGTTCTCCTGCTTGAGCAGGGGGGGGGAAGGGGCTGGACTAGAAGACTTCCAAGGTCCCTTCCAGTTCTGTTCTATTCTTATAGGACCATTTAAGCTGGCAATAGGGGGCTGGCTTCTCCCAATGATCTTTCTCTTTGTGTTGCTTTTTTTCCCATCATCCTGGCTTTTAGCAGGTAATTCTGGACCTCCTCACACAATGCACATCCTATTCATGGAAGCTGTGAGGGAAGACTAGTTGAGTTACAGCAAAGAGAATTACAACTGAAAAGTCTCAGTAGCAAACAGGAACACATTTTTTATACATTTTAAAAATAAAAACTTGCTGTGAACTTGGAGTTTGAGTTTAAATGAACAGATCTATTTTTGTCTATACAAGCCAATCAGACAACTCAAGTTATAATCATGATTTAACCCAAATGAGGTTACAAGCATTCAGCGACATTGTTGTGATGGCAGAGCCCTTGACCACTGTAGAGAAAGAATGGACATTGAAGGAAAAGATAAAACTCGTTTTCCCAAGGAAAATTATTATATTACCAACTGAACATAACAGACCATTCCCAGAAAAAGAGCAGCTGTTATATGAGTTGCCAGAGATGAAAAAGTCTCTGTGAATTCATACATAAGAGAACATTATATATTGGTTTGATTTTTTTCAGATCTTCAGGCTAAACATTCACAATGTGGAGGTTCACTGGAACAAACATAGGAAAAAACTGACCACACTTTAAGACAGCTTTCACATTGCCTAAGATCAGCTGTGAACGCAGAGTATGATACAGAGTAAATACTAAAAGAACTTCAAAAATAAGATACTGCAGCACATATTCCAGATACCATGGCAACGGCACAATTCCAGCACCAATCATAATGGTGTATCAAAATATTCCTTCCACATATGTGGAATGAGAAGGCCAAAAAAGGCTCATTAAATATGGTTAGGATGAAGAATGGCACTTTCCCCATTGTCACAATGGTTGTTATACCATTATTGGGCTTATACAACATGCTGAGCAATTATTCATGTCAATAGAGAAAGCCTTCTATCTGGCTTTCAGTAATTAATAGGAACTGAAATGTTGGCCTCTCTGTCCAATTATACAGGATGGGCAGAAAGTAAAGATATAGTCCCTCAGACAGCCTGGCCCTACATCATGAAGGGCTTTATAAATTGTGATCAGAATCTTGAGTTTCACCTGGAAGCTTTCACCAGCTCATGAAGCAGAGATCCCACATAGGCAGGTTTCAGCATCATTGCTGCTGCATTCTGGACCAGTTGTAGCTTCCAAGTAGTCCTCAAGACTGATGTCAAGTAGAACAAACTGCATACTGCAATAGTCCATACCAATCATAGCTACATCCATACAATAGGCAAAATCAGGAAGGAGAGTTGTGTTGCGCAGATCAATGCTTGGGTTCATCTTCCCAGAGAAAATCAGTTAAAATCCCCCTCCTAGATTGTGTCCCCCCTTATTTAAAGCTATGAATGGTTATTTCAGTGAACAAAGATTTTTTAGAAGTGATATCCAAATTTCTACTCTGTAATTATTTCTGCATATTCCTCCTAATAGTTGATTTCTTTTAATATTGAAAAATAAGTTTAAAGAATGCTCTGCTAAAATTGAAACTTCTGGCTATCATTTTAATACTAATTTTAGAAACCTAAAAACTCTTTCATAAGGGATTTTGGGAATAAATCCCCTTGCTTTTCAGCACATAATTCTAAAATTAATTACTGAGAATTGGTATTAAATTAATTAGTTAATGTACCAGATTCAGCCCCCATTGGTCATTTCGATGTTTTCAAATATATTTGTATTATGAAGTAATAGACATGTGACTCTTAGTTATAAAGAATCAAGAGAATAACAAATAAAGAGAAGAGGGGATGATTCATAGGTATAGGGTTTTTTTATGTGTGTGTGTAAAAGGGAGTGTTATTTACTTTCCAAACAGGGAACTGGCAATGAATTCCAAGAAACTTGACACCATGTGTAATTCTGCCTGTAATCATGGCATGGATGGCAGAAAATAGTGCCATATGTCATTGAATTGGAGCTGCCATTTTTCATTTCAACAGTTTCCAAATATTAATAAAAATACTATAGCTGATTTTATCTAGGTTAGAACATAATATTTATCATAGATTAAATTATAAAATACCTATCTGGGGGATTCCCAGACATGCAATTGAGGGAACCTCTAAGGGGACAAATTTTGATAAAATTTCATATAAAGAATTGTTAATTTGTTCTGGTTCGAATTGGCATTTGAAATCCCTAGATGTATTAAAGCAGCAAAATATTCTACAGTCATGGTTTCAATATTTACAAATAATGGATAGATGGACTGTAGACAAGAAAGAGGGAATAACACTAGAAGATAGACAATTGGTTATTCAGATTAAAAACCAAGGTCCGGCTCATATAAAAAGAATATATAATGTTTTATTAGAGTTAGATTCGGAAACAGAATTGGTTAAAGATTGTATGATTAAATGGGCTCAGAATATACAGGAGCC